CAGTGGCCATTATTGGTATAATGCCTAAATTTCATAGGAACCTTTTTTGTTTTTTGATATCTGCTTCAAATTTGGAAGACAACGTATTAGACACATGGCTTTAAATTTAAAACAATTATGGATTACAAATATTTTGTAAAATATTTATTTTATATAAAATAAAATAAAAATAGCACAATACATTTTCTTTTGCCAGTTACTTTTAAAAGGGGATTTGCTCTATTTTGATTGCTTCCATAGACATCAATCTTTATATGCGAACTATAAACTTTCATCCCAGTATTTCTGTGATAATACGAATGACTGTAAGACAGAAACAATGTAGTTGAAAAGCTGTTTCTTTACCTTTATCGGTCCAGAGCGCACTAGCGTCTTCTTGTCAGCCTTCAGAAGACCAGCGGGAACGACACGAGAGAGAAGAGGAAAGTGCTTCGCCTGTTTCTCATCAGGTGCGTTTGTCTGTATGATGTGCAGGTTCTCTTTAACATTCAGTCTGTTGACTTTCTGAGAGGAAGAGCTCCTCAGATGTGACGCATCGTCTCGTTTCTTCACACTCTTCCTCGGCTCACGAGTCTTTTCTGGCGTCTTGCCGAGGGACACGCAGACCTTGTAAATCAACGTGGATCCGCTCTCGTCTTTCTTCAGATCTTTGGAGAGTAGCTCCACTTTGTAGATGTCGATGTAGAAAACCGAAGCGAGGTGGTTCATGTCGATGCAGCGGAAGAGTTCCTTGAGCACCAGGGACCGATGGGTTTCCCAGTTACACCCCGAGATGATTTCCAGCACTTTAGTGGGCTCCGGCTCTCCCGCCTCACAGCTCTCGCCTGTAAACACACAGGAGGAACAAAACATGAACAACTGTACATGTGACCCTGGAGCACAGAATCAGTCATGAGGGTCAGTTTTTTTAAATCGAGATTTCTACATCATCTGGAAGCTGAATAAATAAGCTCTCCATTGATGTGACAGCAGGTATATTAAAAGCTGCTGTCACTTTCATACCAAATGTGAATGTTAACAATGTTAATTAATTATTGGTTATTGTTAATTAATGTTAACAACAAAAGACAAAATCACTCACTGCTCTTGACAATAATTTTTGTAACTTTAATTTTAAGAATGAATCTGTTGTTTAATTTACAGTGAATTTACTGTTTTTAATTTACAGTTTATTCTATTTCTGCAGCATTTCTGTACCTGAATGTTTTCCACCAAAACTGTTTCTAAAACGAAATTCAGGTCCTGAGTTTAATTTATAATACTGGCTAAGCAAATTACAATATACTTAATATTCTGGCATTCGGTTATGTGATTATGCAACTTACGTTCTCTGCCTGAAGTAACGTCTGGCACAGTCGCCGCCTGTGCTTACTAGAAAGCAAACAAATAGCACTAATAATCATACATTTTCTGAACATTTGTGTAAAATAATGGAGCATTAGGTCATGAATATGGCCTTAAAAGTCATTGAAATGTATTGGTTGAACGAACCCTGCATTTAATGAGTGAATGCCTACGATATAGGAGTTAGCCTATCACACAAACTAGAGTCCTGTTTTTATTATTATTATTATTATTATTATTTCTGCAGTTTAGCGCCATCTGCTGCCAGAGAGTGAAAGTGCGCTTTCATCCAGAGCATCTCTCACATGTTCAGCCATGTGCTTCACATCCGCGCTTATTTACATCAGAGTGCGCACATGTCTTTCACGCAGCATACAGTGGTGTTGTGCATTTTGACCAGTTGATGGGAAAAGTATTCTTAAAATGCATTCAAAATTCTTAATAACTTGTAATATATAATTATTCACGGTATTTAGAAGAGCCCACGATAACAATATCGTGCATATTCGTTACCGTGATATATCGCATTACCGAATACCGGCACAAGTCTAATGACAATACATTTTCATAATAATACGACTACATCTCTTTGTTTTTTTCTGCTCAGTGTTATTTCAGGGTTTTGATCTCTCAACTGAGAGATCACATCCTGTTTATTGTATTATAGTGACTATTTACAGTTTTTCTGAATTGCTAAAACACATTTCTTGAAACCATCACTCATTTTCTCAAAACCTTAAACACAAATCCAAATACTCAAACTAAATTCAGAAAACCTCTGACTCTTCCATCAAAATCAAACAATCACTGTAAAACCATTTCACTTGCACTCAAAATCAAACAGTGCTCTCAGATCACACACACATGAGTCAATAAAATAAACACTACGTAGCATTCATTAGACACTACAGAGAAAAATGGAGAACACAGCATCCAGAACATTACAGAAAAAAAGTATATTCTATTGAGTAAACAATTTAGCAATTCTGTAAAAAGCATAGTAATTGCAACTAAGGTGAATATATTGTATAGGCCTACTGTATGTACTGCAAGAATAGTACTGTGCTGAATATTGAATAGTACTGAATGTTTGTATACTGTATATTCAGCACTTGGATACTGCAAAAATACTGCAGTCCAACTGCAAAGGCCAAAAAAGTCAAATAAAACTCTTAAATGAATAGCATGTTACAGTACACTCAAATACTGTAAGTTGTGCAATTGTTTACAACAGTGTGATAAGTGTTTAAGTGAATGAGAATGTGTTTAAAGTTTTGCAAAAAGAGTGCATGAGATTTGCAAATAGAGCCTAACTGCCTGAATGTGTTTAAAGTTTAGCAGAAAGAGTGCTTTATTCGACAAATTGGTTTAAGCTAGTGAGAATTTGGTAGGCTAGACATGTTGCCTATTAATTGTATACAGTATATGAACCTGAAAGCACATTTTAATTTTTGTGTATTTTGTGTTACTCCATAATAATGTTCTAGTTGAGGGCATTTGTAGTATGGGGCCCAAACATAACCTCAAGCCCAGGGGCCCCCGGCCCCGTAAGTCCTGCCCTGGATGTGTGGCTTTATTATGTACACAAGGCCCTGCCCCTTTATACCCATTTCCTTTGCTAAGGTAAAACTAACCTCTTCAATGCATCTGTGTTGTGACTGGCTGGACTGAGCAGTCAGTGCAAGTGGCCGTAACCCACCAGTTGGGATCATGTTAATTTGACTGCTTTATTCAAGTTAAAGTTTCTTAAAACACTGATCATGTAAAAATATAAATAAATAAATACATTTAAAAAAAAATGAACAGATGCACAATAAGGTACTTCCTTACAGCAAGAGTGGTAAGCAACACGTTAAAGTTAGAGCTTAATAGCATCTGGCTGGATGGACAGAACAGCCAGTGCAGGAAGCAGCAACCCCACAGTCAGGAACATATCTGTTGTAATAGCAATAAAACTCCTTAAAACTTTGATTATGTAAAAGATTAGAGTTATATGGAAAGATGCACAATAATAAACGCTATGCAATGGTTACAGCACGAGTGGTACAAGACGCATTAAACTCTGAGCTCAACCGGCTAAAGACTGAACCACCACTGAACTCGGTGCTTATCTGAGGAGTTAGGGAGTGGAATATTTGATTGCAGGATGAGCCAAATAATTATCAATTTTTATCGATTTTCCATTTTAATAGAAAAAGACTGAAATTGGTTTTACAAGACATGAAATGTACAATTATTTTCAGGACAACAACACTTTGATAATTATTAGTATAAAGTGACAATGCTGTAACAGCATTTTAGGGCATTTTTAGCATTACTTGCACACAATGATAATACAAATGATCCTCTGGATTTAGATCTAGCTAGGTATAGTGTATTTATTATTTTGTCAAGCATATATCAGTGCTACAGTGCCTCCTGAACACCTGGGCATTCAAAATGTAATTAAGAGATTTAAATATTTGTCAACTTTGTTTAATGCCAGAATATGAAGTTCTCGAAAAATAACAAATGTAATAACTGTAATGAATTAGCAGTTATTTAAACAATGAGAGATAGAGAGACTTTAATTTAACTTTATAATTTTAATTTTCACTAATAGCACCACTCTAGAACAAGGACCCCCACTCCCTCCCTCTGTTCTTTACGGTCTTTCTCCCTGCAATCTTAAAACACAACGAAAAAGCCAGCCAGTGTTACAATCACATGATTATGAAATCAGACACATAAAGATCGGCACAGATGTGATTTGTTGCTTTCGTTATATGTGGTTTTGGGTTTTGTGATAATACAAGTTGTATTATTATGCAACATAGGAATGGCCAAACAGAGATGGCATAGGGTATTCGGTCGGAGTAAACACGTCCACATGGCGGTCAGACGTGTTGACAACATGGCGTATGGAGCAAAACCACCCAAACAACAAAAAATGTGCTCCTTACTCCTAACCACATGCACAAAACAACATACCCAGACACTGCAAAAAGAGAAAGTTATTACCGTAGACCCGAATGTCAACAGTTAGGTGATGTTTCACGCTATATGAACACACAAATGAATGCATGCATACCTGCTGGTGTGGCCCCAAAGATCCGCACCACGGGCACTTTCTTGACATCGCTCTCTCTGAACTCAGAGTAACAGACGTCCAGATCTCTGATCGGACTGCTCATGTAATAATCCGCCGTGACGATCCGCAATGAAAACATGTTCTGTTCAGTTCTGCAGGGCAAGCATGAGATGATTTATGATACAAATAATAATAATAAAAGCACAGGCAGCAGTCGATCCTAGCTTTCCCTTAAAGGTGCACCGATGTTTTGTTTCTGCAGAGAACTGCTTGGACCGTGGCGGCTTTAAGCAGAGCGTGATTTGCAGAAATATGGATCGCGATTATCATTCGATAATCCTATGCTGCAAGTGATTCCAAAAATCACATCCATAATTCCTACTGGAACGGTTCAAATACAACGCGTATTTCATTTTAAAAGAAAAATCTAATGTATACTTTCGCTACTGCAACACGATCTCGACACTGTTGGGCAATCCTAATCATTCCCATCCCTCCCATATCCACGTAGAGTGCACTGCAGCATTCCTTGCACCCAGCCGCTTGGTCAGATAGTTCACTTCACTCCTGCTGGAAAAGGAAGCTCCACGCTGTCTCTGCTCTTATTGGTCCGCACTAAAGACAAGACGCCTTCGGATTGGTTTATAAGAAGACAAGCGCGCTGATTGGCACATGTTAGGCGGAAATAACAGGGAGATTACGATGCAATAAAAGCCTCAGATTATATATGTATACATGTCGGCTATTCATAAAGTGGTTGAACCATAGGGTTGAACAGACAGAGATGACAAAAAATATAATTGAAATAAACGAGGGACCACGCGAGCTTTTATTTAACATCTGAGTATGCGATTTCAGACGCAGCCAATATAATTAACTTAGACGTTTCCACCAAATTACTACTTCTACTGCTACTACCTGTTGGGTTGGGCGATTTTTTATTTATTTATTTATTTTTGTCAAAAACTGTCCCCGTTGTTTCCGAAAATATTTCAGCGTAAGTGCGTCGACTGTATTCTACGGTGACCGAGAAGTGCAAAACAAATCACAATTCTGAAAATAAAATAACAAATTACAAACGCAAATGCAAGTCTAAAAAACTAAATAACAATTCAGAAAACACAACAACAATTCAGAAAACATTATAACAAGTCAGAAAACACAATGACAAATTCGAAAACAAAATAACAAGTCAGAAAACACAACGACAAATCCGAAAACAAATTAACAAGTCAGAAAACACAACAACAAATCAGACAAACCGGAAGAGGTTGGTATAGTTTGAGACAGCGCCATTGGTTTGGGATTACTCACAGCTGACTGGACAAGACATCTGTCAATCAACGTATACAGGAAAAACCAGCCGAAGAACAGCAGAGTCGTGGTAGAAAGTTTCGAGATGGTATTAAAGTAGCTCAGTTTAAATGTATTGTATGAATTGCCCTGATTATGGAATAAAAAATACGGGGTGTCTATTTACATTTAGTTAAAAGCAGCTGTAAAACATCAGCTCCAGTGGTGCAGATGGATAAGCATGTAATGTTGGCTTTTTGACGCGATCGACCCGGGTTCGATCCCACCTTTTGCCAAACTTTTTTTT